GAGTCACGACAGCAGAATTGATATCAGGCAACCTTGGGACCGGTCCCAGCATACACTCAAGAGTCAAAATGCTCCAAGGCGGTGCTGCATAGTGCGTTCGACGTTTTGATTTTTTCGTCGCTTGTTGCCCATTTTTCTTGCTTTTGGTCACATCACCCGCGCTTGTTGGTGCTCATGTCTGGTGGTCGGCACCCGGTCACGATGTTGGATGAGCTACGTACATATACGCAAGTTGTAACGTGATAATCGTCGTCGTAGTCGGTAGCACCGGCGGCACCAACGGCACCCACAGCATGTTCCGATGATCCTGTGGTAACAACCGCCATGGCACCCGGTATTCCGTCAAGTTCGAAGATTTCGATGTCTCTGTCGTTACAACCGCCGTGACACCCCGTATTCCGTAAACTTACCTGTGTCGTAAAAACCGCCGTGGCACCCGGTATTCCGTAAAGTTTGAAGATTTCGATGTCTCTGTCGTTACAACCGCCGTGACACCCCGTATTCCGTAAACTTACCTGTGTCGTAAAAACCGCCGTGGCACCCGGTATTCCGTAAAGTTTGAAGATTTCGATGTCTCTGTCGTTACAACCGCCGTGGCACCCGGTATTCCGTAAACTTTCAAGGTGGCGGAACGCGCGCTGTTCCTGTGGAACAACGAGCACCTCGTCACGGCCGGGGTCCTCTCGATGCAGTACCCGAGCCCGCTTCTGCCGGTCATCTACGGCCCCCTTCGGGAGCGCTCGACCCGCCACTGGAACACCACTGTGGAAGGGCTGGCCCACAACGTGCTAAGAATGTACAACGACCAAGACGCTGCGGCATTTGAAAGGTGGGAGGTCGAATGAAGGCTTACTTTTGTTGTGTCTAGGTAAGCGCACCGGTATGGTGTGTTTTTCAAAGGGCGGGACGGTTGGTTTGAGCCCGGGTTTGGAGGGGTCGTGCGCAATTTCGCGGGCCTGTGCTTACAAATGCCGGCGTTGTTGTTCTTGCTGTTGTTTTCACTGTTGCTGCTTTAGCAAGTGTCGTTGTGTTTCGTCTCCTGAGATGTAACCGATGTGACCCTCACTCTCTACCTCATCCAGTCCAACCGACACACTGTCTCTTGTAGGTGGAGGGGGGGGGGGGGGGGAG